GTGGCTACTGATAGCGGTGTAGAACGCTACTCACGCGAGGGCGCTAGGAGTATCCGGACACACAGAAAACAGGGATTTGCTAGAACACGGGCGTCAAAGGAGGGTCACGTGATGTGGCTGCACTTGTGTTAGGATTAAAGTTAGGGTCAGGGTCAGGGTTAGGGTTAGGGTTAGGGTTAGGGAAATAAGACCATGTCTAGCACGGAAGTATGACTGTGGAATCTTTCTGTGGAAGATTTGGACTAGTCTAAGGCAGGGAGCTAAATATAACAAGGAGAGGAAGAGGATTGGCTGTGTGCTTTCGCCTCAAGGGCGCCATCTATGGACCATAATCAGCTGAAACGGCTGTGCAGACCGAACCCAGAAACAATAGAACGCTATCTGTTCTAGGGTCTCTGCCGAACCCAAATTTGGGCCAGATATGGCGCCGTCTAAGGAAGGTACATCAATGGATAACACGGACACTGTATTATGCAAAAGGAAAGGCCAGTCTAAGGAAAGCTTTCACCTTCCCGTTTCCAGGTTCTCAGTTTAGTAGGTGCCGTAGTGGCACCCGTTTTAAGGGCAGTGTCAGGTTGCGTCGATAGATAACAGAAACACAGTATTATGAAAACTACTGCTCGTGCGTCTATTTCAGCCTAATCACACACAACTCTACGATACTATACAGATGTCTGCAAGTCGTAACACCCGCTCCGCGTGTCGCGTAATCTAATACAAGTAATTCCGTACCTTAGAGAGGCGGTTCGCGGAGGCGCTCGGCGGGGTGAAGATATATATAGGTCGGTGGAAGGTAGAGCGGAGAAGTATCGCTGGAATAGGGTGTAGGAGCTAGGCGAAAACTAGACTTGCTGCGGAAAGGATGAGAGCAAAGTTGTTACCTGGGGAATAACCATGGCAGATCGGCCCCCGAGTCATTAGTGTACTCGGATGCTAAGGGCGTGGTGTATAGTGATTACCTGCGGCGTTCTATTATTATTATCACTTGGAGCGAAGAGGTGTGTGGTTTCTAGTGATTGCATTTGGGGAATAGTGTGAGGCGATATATTTACTCTCTGCGGGAGCGTGCGCTATCCTACACTAGCGTACGAAGTGACTAGTGCTGCCACGTAACGGCACCCTCCTTCGACGCCCGTGTTCTAGCAACACCCCAGAAAACAAGTATCATAACCTAGCGGTTAACTCGGCTCTTATCTCTAAGCAAAAATGCAGGTAAATTTAACCAGCATATGCGAATCCACTGCGAATAGCACAGAGAATTGCTACGTGTGAACGCGGCTTATACGTATTTTATCGGCAGTTGGTGCGCATTGCATTGTATTTCATAAATACGAGGTCTCGTGTGAACGAGGCTTATAACTAGAGCTAGGCGAGAGCTAGCAGGTGTCATTACCGAGGTAGCAATCTACTCTAATTCTTGCGACGTTAGCTCACGTTTCGATGAGATGTGTAGGTATGATTGCATGTTTACAGCGCAAGGCTCTAGATTTACGGAGCAAGGTAAGTCCGTCAAGAGAAGCGGAAGTGATTGAGACCGTTGAAAAGCACTAATTCATGCAGACCGACTGTCTGACTCTCTGGATGCATGCAGCGTATGCGTTACATCCGTTACTAGGCTGCCTACACGTGTTAAGTGTATCCGCGAATATTTTGTAAACGTGATCAAACTCGGCGAAAGGAAATCTACAGGATACAAACCCGATTGCGTCTCCGAATAGCCGCTCTCTTAGAGGGACTGCGATGGTATTGGAACACATACTCCTTAAGCTGATGTCGGCCAGACCTCAGCAGCTGAACCTATAAGCATACGTCTGTATAAGTATTGTATTGAAAGCGCTAATAATATTGTATCCTCTATTCTATTGTAATTGAAGATCGTGATAATTTTTGATAGGGTTAATGCGCGCACACACTGATTTACCATGAAATCGTTATACGAGAGTGTAAGGTTGAAGCTACAGAGTAAGAGATAGAGATCGTGAAATAGTTCGCAAATGAATCGGTGCCGTCTGCGACTGTGTTTGCAACGAACTATGAGCGAATATTGCGCAAAACGTGGCTACTGATAGCGGTGTAGAACGCTACTCACGCGAGGGCGCTAGGAGTATCCGGACACACAGAAAACAGGGATTTGCTAGAACACGGGCGTCGAAGGAGGGTCACGTGATGTGGCTGCACTTGTGTTAGGATTAGGGTTAGGGTCAGGGTTAGGGTTAGGCTTAGGCTTAGGCTTAGGGCTAGGGCCTAGGGCACTAGGGCTAGGGCTAGGGCTAGGCTAGGGCTAGGCGCTAGGGCTAGGTCTAGCGCTAGGGCTAGGGCTAGGTCTGGGCTAGGCTAGGGCTAGGGCTAGGGCTAGGGCTAGGGCTAGGGCTAGGGCTAGGGTTAGGGTTAGGGTTAGGGTTAGGGTTTAGGGTTAGGGTTAGGGAAATAAGGCCATGTCTAGCACGGAAGCATGACTGTGGAATCTTTCTGTGGAAGATTGAACTTTGAAGCGTACGAAGGTTACTAGTGCTTGCCAGCGTAACGGCCCCCTCCTTCGACGCCCGTGTTCTGTTATCTCTGTTATCTGTTATGTGAATGTTATTTCTTCTCATCATTCCTGTTAAGTGTATCGTATACTGTCGTATTTCTGGCACGGTTCTGTTCTTGTTTTGCGCGGTATTTAGGCTGTTCAGCCTGGCTGCGGTTCGGCTCGTTTACATTATGTTTTTAGTCATGTGACTCGCGGGTTTCCTTGTCGCGTATAAAAGCGTCTGTTGTGGCGTGGCGGCGGCCCTTTTGCTGCTTGTGCCGTATTTAACGTTCCGTGCGCTCGCGCATTTCTTCCCACGATGCACCATACATTGTAAGTGTTTTTCTCTTGGTTCTCGTCTATATAATTTCTTATAATTTGAATCTTTGTTATATAACGTTGGATATAGTGAACATTGCATGACATGAGCGACGTAAATATTTAGTGTGCATTATTTTGTATTTACAGTTTTACCTGCACGTGCGCTCAACGCATGTGCTGAGTAATAAATTTGGAGATAACGGAAAAGATGCCGAGTTGGGTTTTTGATTATCACGCACGGAACGTAACAGTAAAAAATGTATGAATCAAGAGGACATGAATAAGAGTTACATGAAGCAAGAGGACATGAGTAAAAAATGTATGAATCAAGAGGTGAATCATGAGTAAAAGGTTACATGAAGCAAGAAAAACATGAGAAAAAGGTTACATGAAGCAAGAAAACATGAGTGAAAATACATAGAAGCAGGACTACATGAGTAATGGTATGCGTGCATGAGGGGACATGAGCAAGAAAAGTCTATGAGCTAAGACTGAGGCGAATCTACGTCAAGAATTTGACAACATGGCGGAGTGCAAGAAGTTACAGAGGGAACTCACCTGGGAAGGTAACACCATTAAGCGCCTGGTAGCAGAGCAAGATGATATGAAGAGACGCAAGCAAGACTTCGGATATTAAAGGGAGTATTTTCCGAGTTTGCTAACGCACACGAGGATTGTCATGTGCTTCTCACTGACGACGGTGATATTGACGATAGTGATGGTATCTCTTTGAGGTTCAAGATGCGTATATTGATGGGGTGAGGAGAAGACGAATGCATTCCTCGATAGTCGGAAGTTACCCATCAAGCCGGAGGCATTAAGACGACAAGAGCAGGAATATGCACGACTGGAACAGCAGAGATTGTTCCGGAAACATCAAGAAGCCGCCAGAAAGCAAGAGGAAGAACGTATTAGAATGGAACAAGAAAGAATTGTTCCAGGAACGCAAGAAGCAGCCAGCGGAATGCATAGATGAAGATAGTATTAGAATGGAACAAGAAAGGAATTGCTTCCATGGAACAGCAAGATACATAGCATGAATGCAAGTAGAAGAATGTATTTAGAATGGAACAAGAAAGAATGTTTGCCAGGAACTACAATGAAAGAGCCAGGGAATGCAAGAGGAAGAATGTTATTAATAAGGGAACAAGAAAGAATGTTCGCGAACAGCAAGAAGCAGCCATGAAGCAATGAGGAAAGAATGTATTAAAGGGAACAAGAAAGAATGTTCCAGGCAACGCAATGAAGCAGCCAGGAATGCACATGATGAAAAAGGTATTAGGAATGGAACAAGTTGAGTAATGTTCCAGGGAACAGCAGAAGGCAGCCAGAAAGCAGAGAGAAGAACATAATTTAGAATGGAACAAGAAAGAATGCCTTCCAGGAACAGCAAGAACCAGCCAGGGAACGCAAGAGGAAGAATGTATTAAAAGGAACAGGAAAGAATGTTCCAGGAACGAGCAAGAAGCAGCATGAAGCAGAGAAGAATGCTATTAAAAAGGGAACAAGAAAGAATGTTCCAGGAACAAGCACAAGAAAGCAGCCATGAATGCGTAATGGCAGAGACAAGATGCCATGCAGAAGAAGGCCCGAGCAAGCCAGCGAAGCTAGAGGGCTGTGGATACGACAAGGACAAGAGGCTAAAATTGGCTGTTGGAGCAGAAGGCTTGGCTGATAAGGAATAAGCTAGAGAGCGAAGGCTAAGCTGAATACGGTGATCGCGAAAATGTGGGCCGACATAGAAGCTTGTATCGAGCAATGTCAAGATTCCCATCGTATGATAGACGATGCCCCCTACGCGTTTTGTGGCCGTGATGGTGCGGAGAGACGTGATCCATTTCGCATGACCCTCACACGTACTTTGGGGAGTATGTGTGCGCCAGCATCTCGACATACGCTTTTGCGACGCACGGTAAAGGGACCATGGAGATTGTCGACCCTGCGATAGTGACACAGTAACTAGATCGTTCACGTCGACGACTGCCTCAAGTCAGTCGAATGTGATGACGAAAGCTGAAAGCCCAAATAATTATAAGAGCGAACACCAGACCTGCTACAGAAGGGCGGATTTAGAATTAACGAAGTTCGTGAGTGCAACAGTCGCGAGACCTTCTCGCCGAGCATACCGGAAGCCACGAGGATGAAAGCTATCGTGGATATGAAGTGCCCATCAGATTCTCGGTAGGAACATGGAAATATGGCGAGCGGAACACTACTAGCACGCTGAGACCTATAAGCGTAGCAAAGATGTATCGTGCCGACCGAATCACGTGACAGCAGTATGTGAACTAGCATCAACTTCAGTGACAGCCAGTGAGAAGGCGGTAGGGAATGGTTGTACTTATATGAGATGTATAAGTAAGGCAAGGACGAATACACACACGCCTTTAGTAATGAAGCAAAGGTAGGCGGTTGGCGCCGATAAAACACTTACGATCCCAACGCTTGGAGCTGCAAGCTGGCAGTGTATTATCAGCGAGGTGGACTGTCTATTTAGGCGAGAGTTGCGAGCCTGCTAAACCAAGTCATATTTTTGGACTGACAGTGAACTGGTTTTGAAATACATTAACGAATGAACGGCACGGAGTTCCAGAGTATCGTAGCCAAACAGCGATCAGTTACAATTCCGACAGCTGACGAACCCTGATCAATCGGTATTATATTGCGAGTGGAAGATAATCCGGCTGCATGTAAGAACAAGTAGGCAGAAGCAGCCTGGAGGCTGCCGGACACCGGAAAGTGGTTTGAAGGCCGTTAGCATGTTAAAAACGTAATAAAGCTGAGTGAATATGCAACGGATAGACGGTGAGGTATCATCACATATCCAGAGGTGAAGGCATTGACCGCAAAAAAACGAAAGAAGCCTCAAGAATCTGTGAAAAAGGATAAACCTCGCGGCTACCCGTAGTATGAGGGAAAGCCGCTAGATAGGCTCATGCATCATTACTCTAGCTGGTTATAGGCTTTAAGATGGGCTCTGTGTTGGTGGATCAGGATAAAGATGGATAAGCTATAGAGCAAAGGTCAAGCTAAAATTCGCGCAGATCAATAGGCGTTGATGAAATGGTGTTCAGCAGACGCGAATTATAGTGAAAGCACGTGCGATGCATACGCTGGAGAAGGAATCAACCCAAATCCACGAGGGATGATACCTAACAGGTCGACGTTCGGCCTGAGGAAGCTAACGCCTGTGCTGGGTTAGGACGGGCTGCTTTGGTGTAGGTTTGGAGGCTTCAAACATGCTCAACGCAATAGCAATGCTTAATCATTGAAGGATATACATGATATAGCATCACCTAGGTACAGAGTGGGTACTTGGCGATATGTGAAGAGCTAAAGTTTTTTGATCGACAAAGGCGAGATCAGTCATGCAGAAAGTGGTCCACGATGGCTGGTTGACATGCGAAGGCTTTATGCATCGCCTTGTCAGCGGAAGATGGCTAGATTTACCTCTTGAGAGGCTAGAACAAAGCAGCGCACGTTATACTTACGTAGATTAGCATTGTTTTGGACCTTTTCTACGTTGAAGCTGGGCAGATCAGCAGCTAAAGGATATGGATGTGTGTTCACATGCCTTCACCACACGCTGCCGATACACATAGAAAAGTTCAAACAGTCGTGCTATCACCAAGGAGCAGCGATGATGTAAGTGATTTCGAAGAGCGCTTTAGCCTAACCGATCTTTTATATTGCTACGAGAGGCGCTACGTTTACTCCCGCGGCAAGTTCGAGATTCAGCGGCATGTATCCTAGGCGGTGGCCGTCACGTAACAGCATTCTCGCGATCAGTCTTTCTGGCGCAAGTGGTGTGAAAGAATACCTGCCAGAGCTGCAGCGTAGAAGCAAGTGGATTGTGCAAAGCAGGAACATCAAGATAGGTGATTTAGTGCTGGTGGTGAACGCAAACACCCCAAGAGGACTATGGCCGCTTGGCCTCGTGATAGATGTGATAAGGGCAGAGACGGTCTCGTCAGATCAGCCAGAGTGAAAACCAAGGCGACGCGTATCGTCCGCCCGATCTCGAAGATCGTGCTACTAGAGGGCTTCCTAAGTTTACTTTGTTGAACGTAGTTCAAGGTGGGGAGTGTTATTTCTTCTCATCATTCCTGTTAAGTGTATCGTATACTGTCGTATTTCTGGCACGGTTCTGTTCTTGTTTTTGCGCGGTAATTTAGCTGTTCAGCCTGGCTGCGGTTTCGGCTCGCTTACATTATGTTTTTAGTCATGTACACTCGCGGGTTCCTTGCGCGGTATAAAAGCGTCTGTTTGGCGTGGCGCGGGCCCTTTTTGCTGCTGTGCCGTATTTATACGTTCCCGTGCGCCTCGCGCATTTCTTCCACGATGCACCATACATTGTAAGTGTTTTTCTCTTGGTTCTCGTCTAATTTCTTATAATTTGAATCTTTGTTATATAACGTTGGATATAGTGAACATTGCGCATGACATGAGCGACGTAATATTTAGTGTGCATTATTTTGTATTTACAGTTTTACCCTGCACGTGCCGCTCAACGCATGTGCCTGAGTAATAAATTTGGAGATAACGGAAAAGATGCGAGTTGGGGTTTTGATATCACGCCACCGAACGTAACAGCAACACCCAGGAAAACACAGTAATCATAACCTAGCCGCGTTAACTCGGCTTAAGCAAAAATGCAGGTAAATTTAACCAGCATATGCGAATCCACTGCGAATAGCACAGAGAGCGAATAAAATAGCGCAATTTATTCACTAACGATTTATTAATTAATAATTATTAATTACTTTATGAAATAACACAATCTATTAATTTAATTATTAGTAAGGTAATTTCGCACGTTATATTCGACCCGAAAACGTTCCGCGGCTATTCACGGCGATATTAACACTTTACGGCACACACACTCGGCGCTACCGAGACGGTGCGTGTGTGTGTTTGTAACTCACCAGCAGTTTTAGCGGCGCTGCCACCCAAATGACCAACCGCGGACCGGCAGACTTGATGCGTATGCTCACACCGCGGCACACGTCGGCGCCCGCCACCTTCTCGTTCTTGAAAACACAAACACAGTCACTTGGATTGGTTAATTACGATACGCGACATGACATGAGAATAAGCGAAGGTTCCGTACTTAGACGAGAAGAGAGCAAATAACCACCGTCACTACTTCCCGGCGCTTTCTTGGTTACTCTCGGAGTTTTAGTCTGTACCTAGCTGGCGCTTATTTTTTCTCTTTCTCGCCTCCTCTCTCTCTCTAGGCCTATTTTTCGTAATCGCTCCCACCATTCTCTTCCTTCCCATTCTCTCTCTCTCTCACACGCACCCACTGTCAATATCTTTCTCACCATTCTCTTTTCCTTCTCCCCACTGTTCTCTCCCTTCCTCTATCTCTCGCAAACACACACTGTATGCTTTTCTTTCTTTTGACATATACCTACTACTTTCCCCTACACGACTTTAATTTCCAACGCTCGCACCTATTTCTCTCTGTGTGTGTGTGTCTCTCTCTCTCTCTCTCTCTCTCTCTCCCTCTTTCTCTTTCCCTTTCTCACTCCCTCTCTCTCTCCCTCTTCCCCTTTCTCTCTATGCCCCTCTCTCTCTCACATGCACTTCCTCTCTCTCCCTCTTTCTTCCATCTCTCTCTCGCTCTCTCTCGCTCTCTCCCTCTCTCCCCTTCTCCTCCTCTCTCCCCCTCTTTCCCCTTTTCCCCCTCGCCTCTCTCCTTCTCCTCTCTCCCTCTCCTCTCTACTTGCACCCTCACCTGCTCACTGGCCGGCGTCTGCTCGATCTCTAATGCGTCGACCGCAGCCTCGCAGACGGCCACGCACCAATCGAGAGCAGCGGTCGCAGCCCGTCCCACGCGGCTACGCAGCACGCTGATGCAATAACGTCTGACTCGGCCGGAGACGGACCGTCTGGCACCGTCCAGGTATTCGCTCGATTTGCTGGCGACGACGCCGCCGACGTTCAGGTATTTGACGGCCATCGCGTCCACGGCTATAGACGCGCGCACGAAGAATGAAGGGAGAATGAATTACAATCGTGGTTTTACGCGTCACTACTCGTTGTTGGTTTTATATATTTACGCTTCATACACGTTGTACACACACGCGCGCGCAGGCGCGCACGCACGTTCACATGCACGCACACACACACGCACACACACACGCACGCACGCACGCACGCACGCACGCACGCACGCACGCACACACGCACGCACGCACGCACGCACGCACGCGCACGCACGCGCACGCACGCACGCGGACGCACGCTTACGTTTCGTTATAAGTCGGTTGCTATTTCACGCGAGGAATTTCATACGGCGTTTAATTTCTTGTATAGGTATGAAAACACTTACCACAGCAATTATGTAAGGCAAATATGAGTGACGGCGTCAATTTTCCATAAATATATGGAATCATAATATAATATATAACTGTGACCTTGAGGTGATATAGTATACCCTATAAGACGCCGTGTATTGTGGAAATGAAAGACGGTGCCAGTGATAGGGTAGCTACAGCTATTACGAAAGATTTAGCAATTGCCAGCAACGGCAAACATTTAAACGCAGACATACGCTTATTATAGCTCTGCTCATTATTTGGTATACATGTCAAATTCGGACATGCAATACGCGGAACACCCGCGTTAAACAGCGACATCGGCTTTTAGGCAGGTTGAATCAAATGCTGATAGGCAGGGTTATTGAAAGTGGGCGGGAAGGGCTGCCGTAGAAAGCAGTCGGTCAGAACTTTCCATCAACTACGGTAGATGGCAGCGCAGTTTGTTACGCAGCAACATCTCGAAGTGGCACGTCAACCACACAGCAGCATTATAACAGAGCATATAAATCACTATATTTATTGCTGATTTATATGCTCTGAATATAATTTATAAAACAGCGCGGCGCGTGTGCGGTTAATAAACCTCACTGCCATTTTCGGCGAAACAAACGATATTATATAGAGCATGCAAAACTGCATGAGGTCCACATATCTATAGCAAGATCCCTTCGCTCACGCATGAGATGCCCCCATGGTAGCACTACATAAACATCGCGTGGCATTAAACATCTCTAGCGGAAATGTACGCTAGAGTAGGCCTATATCGTATATAAAAATAAAAAACAGTACATTTGTTAATAAAACCAGTAACACCAAACAAGGCATGTCATTATCTATTAGACGCTCACGTGAGACGCTAAATGACGTTTGTATGCGAAATTGTATGTAGACGAAAGCGTCACAGTGTTATGTACGCGCTTGTTATATATAAATAAATAAATAAATAAATATATATATACTATAATGTTATGTATGCTTATAATATGCTTTAGTCGCGCAAGACTGAAAGACAAATATTAAAGCTCACCGCTCAGTAGCTTAGCGGAGCGCACGACGTCGACTGCTGGACGGGTGAGCTGCTTCACAGCACTCAGGCCACACTCCATCCACCTGGCGGCGACGCCTAGGGGTGTGCCACTGTCCCTGAGTCGCACGTACGCCCTCGTCACCGCCTGCACCGTCTGTGTGGCGCCAAACTCCTGCACGTTATCGAGCTCTTCAGGCATGCTTCTTGTCCGGAGAGAACTGCAGGTAAAACTGCCGGTGCTAGCTCAAGTGAAACATGAAGCGTTCGCGTACGCAGGGGAGCCGGTACCCGGACAGTGAGCCGGTGTGCGCACCGGCAGCGCGATGCAGAGAGCGAGACAGTACGTGAATCCGTCACCGGTTTTCGTCTGCTTCGATTTGTATCGGCCTATCAGCGAGCTACGTTGTAGTGACGTACCGCAGGGTTTCATGTGCTTGGTGACGATATCACGAGGTCAGTGTGCGAGTCATTGTCATGTATTCGCTTGCGTTTTATTTGCACTAATTTTAAATAGGCAATGTCAGTTTGTGTCATTCATGTCTCGTGCTTCTTGTAACCAAGTAATGATCGCAGATACTAGAGTAGTGTAATTATATGTATCATGTAAATACAGCCTCGTCGTTATTTAAGATAGTAACGCAAAAACAAACATTTTAAATAATATTTAAACATAATATACTCATATAATTTAGATTCATTTATATATACACGACATAATCGTACGCTATGGCAGTCAACATGCAGCAGGTAAAACACAGATTCAGTTGGACAGATATTACAAGTATGACTTTCGGATATATCTAACTGTTTCTCAATTCACAAGAAACAAATAAATGCAATAATGATTGTGTGTCATTCGAGCAAGAGACCATACATGCTAACTAATACTAACGCTGATAGGGTCTATGTCTCCCTGGGTACTGCCGAAACGTACCATGGGTACGGTCCGGTATACCGGAACGTACCCGGGTAACTGGCAGTACCTAGGGTACGGTCCGGTATACCGGAACGTACCCGGGTAACTATCTGATATGATTAGGGTTAGGGTTAGGGTTAGGGAGTAGGCGTAGGCGACTCCCTAGACTCGTTATAGTGGAGTAGGCGAAGTGCGGTCCGGCATATTAGATAGTACCATAGTATAATTTGCATTGGCTGCCAGTCTATTTCCGTATAGAGTTTAAAATACTACTAATCACTTTTAAGGCATTACAATTACATTGTATGTCACCAGATTATATCAGGAAATTAGTCACATTAAAGAGACCTAATCGGTACAGTCTGCGCTCTGGTAACCAAATGTTAATTGAGCTACCAGCTGTAAAAACGTTGACTACACTTGGCGATCGAGCTTTCTCATCAGCTGCCCCAAAATTATGGAATAAGCTACCTAGTCATATTCGATGTGAAAAGTCGCTGGAATCTTTTAAACGCCTAGTCAAAACTCATTTATTTAACATTGCATTTAACACATAGACATTATATTTTTAGGTGTACATTTGATTTGAGTTCTATTTTATTGAAAATGTTATATTATTGTCGTTTTTAGGATCTATATTTTACAATGTTGCAGTCCGCTATTTATAATCAGGAATTGTTACAGGATTGTCGTAATTTAAGCATCTATATTTTACAGTGTTGCAGCCGGCTGTTTTATAATCAGCCTTTGTAATGCGCACGTGAACATATCTGCATGCAACGTGCGCAATATAAATCAATAAATATTATTATTATTATTTGGTACGATCCGGTATACCGGACCGTACCCAGGGTACGTTCCGGCAGTACCCTGGGGGACATCTAGACCCTGGCAGCAATACTAACAACGACGATGACAGCAAGAGATCCAGAACCTCTCAGCGCTTAAGGCCAATTCGAAAAATTCACTGAGAAGATTGATAGTAACGCACTAAGGGATTGTCCACAAACACTAACGTTACCGGCCGGCAGAATCTAAAAAATAGAATTATGTAAGCGTCATAGTGTACATTTACGTAAACCCTGAAACGTTATTTACAATACAACTCGTCCCCGCTACTGACGTGAAACGAACACGTGATCCACGGTGCTCGCTACAATAGTACATCCTGGGCCTTACATGACGGTCAAGTGGCTTTATTGCACATAGGTGTCACGATAGCTGATACGGCAAAATTATTAACTAAACGTCAAACAATTCTAATACATCGCTACGTTTTGATTATAATGTATATCACGTACTACATATACAACTTCGAATGTATGTGTGTGTGTGTGTGTGTGTGTGTGTGTGTGTGTGTGTGTGTGTGTGTGTGTGTGTGTGTGTGTGTGTGTGTGTGTGTGTGTGTGTGTGTGTGTGTGTTCGTGCATGTGTGCGTGTGTGCGTGTGTTTGTGCGTGTGTGTGTGTGCGCGCGCGTGTGTGTGTATGTGTGTGTGTGTGTGTGTGTGTGTCTGTGCGTGCGAGCGCGCGCGCGTGTGTGTGTAATAGATATAGTAGTAAGCCAACCAGGGTAAGCCAGCGATGGTTCGCAGTCAGCGAAAACAAGATTCATTACAATTGTAGATGCGCCTATGTACACGCTCTTCAGACATGCATATCACGTACTAACACACTTCGTAGCAAAGCATACCGTTTGCCTTATTGCGAAGTTATCACCAAATAAAATAACCAGAACGAAATACCGCGTTGATTTTTCACGATGTACACCGATTCCTATACACTACATCACAGCGACGGTGACACGCACAGACGAGTGTGCACGCGTGCGCCCACACTCACGCAAACATCGAATGAACAGATACACGTATGTACACACATGGATCAAAATATTATACGAAATGCAAAACTGAACATAACCTCGCGCAGTAGTCTTCGGTAGTTTATATATACATGTAGAACTGACGCGCTGTTTAACAACGCGATTTCAAAATATACACTGATGTTTCGTCAACGAAAGATCAATCGATTAATACTGTTCATGAAGCGTACGGAGTTGTAATCAGATCGCACGGGGAGGGGCATTTACTCAATGCTTCATGTAATGAATGCTGTAACGTGTGCAAAATCCCGTGCGGGATGCTTGTTGACTGAAGTGGAATCCGCTTGGAATAAGAGCAGCGGTGAAGGTAGACGTGTCCTACACTGCAAAGTAGTTCGCCTTATTACTGTCCTCCGCCATCCCCATTCTACTGTACCCCTCTTCGTAGCTGCGGCAGAATTCCAGCGTTCCAGGCAGGTTAGATGGCTGTGACGTCATGCGGTAGCCGTCGTCGACTTGGCACCGTTGGCCGCCAGGTGTCAGCTGCGGAGCTAACATGGCGCATGGCGTTGTCATCAACACGTCATCATCGTCGTCGATGTAGAGCGTGCTACTGTTCAGTGTGTCGTCCGCGCATGCGCAGTGTTTCGGCGCTGCCCGCGGTGACGTCGGGCGTGACGTAGGAGGCGAGCTGGTGACGATGTAGCCTGCGCTGTTCATGCGGCCCAGAGGCACATGGCGGGCAGCGAGCAACATGTTGCGTGAACCGTCGATCGGCGCGTTGTCGTCCGCCGCTCTCCCGTCCGCTAACGTGTCGTCACCGCGGGTCGTCGCGCGTTTTGCCGACGCTAGTTCGTCGCCGTTATCCTCGTCGTCCGCGTCGGCGAAGGCGAGCAGAGTGTAGTGGCACATCGCAGCGCCATCTGGGCGTTCGCCGTCTACGCTTTTCGCCGGCGTGTCGTCGGCGTTGCCGTCGCCTGCTCGAACATTTCCCGCCCGCGTCGCCTGCTGCTCTCGCTGCACGGGGGCCTGATCCGCCATATTGTCTGTGCGCGTGCGCTGCACCTGGGAAGGACCGCACGGCTTGTACGTCGCATTACATATCATCGGGACCTTCGGCGGCTGCGCGAGAGTAGCGACCGCTTTCGTCTCCTTTGCGTTTCGGAACAGAGAGCGAAACGGGTGCCCGTCTCGGGCGGGCTTCGGCTGCGCGACGCCTACGTGCCGTCGCTCCTCGGCGATGACGGAGTACGGGTTCTCGTTGGCGTTGAAGTCGCATGCGGGCGCTGAACAGACGCCCGAGTCGCGCGCGTCGTCGCGCAGCAGGTCCTTACCGCTGTCGACGTCCTCGCCGACGTCCGGCGTCGTCGTCGTAGACTGGCGCTGATACTTTCGGCACTTGCCGATCGGCGCCGTCGCGTCGCCGAAGCCGACGCTGTTGCGGCAGCGCTCCGTCGGACTAGCGAAGCCGGAGTCGGTCGACGAGATGCTCTGCTTCTGCTCTCGACCCATGCCGTCGACGTGCAGGTAGGAGATGATCGTGTAACTGTCAGGGTCAACGGACATGGATAGCTCCACCGAGAGAGGACGCTTGCCGTTCTGGTCGTAGGCGAGTGGATCCTTGATGGTCTGCAAGTGAAAGAGGACGGCGATGATGAAGCTGATAGAAGGAAGCAACTTTGCGTTCTGCTTTTATTTCACGTATAAGATTTCTTTGGCGTCGCTCCTAATATATATATATATTTTTTTTTTATATATAGCTTAGCGCCTGGAACTACAGATACCATCGCACGTTAGTTCAGTGTTTTCGTGTGCGTGCCAATTAGCCGTGCGCAAATTAAAGGTATCGTGAACATTTTCTATTGGTTGTTCCCATGGGTAGACTCGGTTAGGCTTACCTGATCAACGTTGGGCAAAATAATAATGCCTTCCAGTTCAGCAAATTTACACCATCTCTGTTTAATAAATCTGAAACAAAATTACAGCGTAAGATTTACAATAATCCACAGCAAAAAGTGTATATTATACAGCTCAAGCTCTTTTTTGGATCCATGTAAAAGTTCATAGTACAATTCTCATCTGTAAAATGCGGAGGTAACATGTTTTGCTCTAGCTCCTACCTGCCTAGTGCTATTATTTTGACAGGAATAACACGGCCATTAACATCGTTTCATTTGAAATACGTTCCCTATCATTTACCATCATTAAGCACGATCTGTTTAACGACTCATATATCGGGCTCTGCTTTCCCATGTTATTATTTGGATACATTCACCGGTATTATCTGGGACGTCGCCGGATTATCTGACGTGTATACGCGTTTACATTTCCCGCGTCATTTTTACATTACCGGCGCCTTATGGTGATAGTAATCAACGTAAACCTTATCTATATCCATTTCTACGTCGGACGCACGCAACTCCAGAAAATAAAGAGGATACGTGGTTGGTAAAAAGTCTACTTACTTTCTCTTCCAAATAACGGAGGCAATGCCGAGAAAAAGGCAGACGCCGATTGCGATGGCAATATATATCCAATCGGGAACCTGGCCGACAGCTGCTACTGAGGCTGCGATGAAATGGAAATAAATGGAATTACTCTTCTGAGAATACATGAAAGACACAACGTGTCGGGGTTACGCTTCGTACTTCTGTAAGTTCTGTTTGCTCCACAATTTCTAGAAGCCTTCCGATGAGTTCAGCTGATCTATGTTCAACAGCATGTGAACCTTATAATTCTGACACTCGGTCTTGGAACTATTACAGATGTTCTTGAAATTCATCATATCTAACACGCCACGTGGAAGCATTCCATTAACATCGTGCCGTGGTTATTGCCACCACGAAACCATGCGATTCTCACCTAGGAACGTCGTCTCCAGGTAGGCCTCGGTGGCCCAGTAGATGCCACTCGTCCTGTTGCCATCCTGCAGCGATATGCCTACTTTAGCGACGCAGTGGTTGGCGATGTCCTTGAGGAGGTAGGAGCGCGCCGCTGCTCCGTGAGGTACATGCGTCCACTGCAGCTCACCGACGCACTCCCCGCGGCATGGCACGATGTTACACGCACACCAGTACATGGTCACAGATGTCGCAGGGCTCGTAGCTACAATAATAATAATAATAATAATAATAATATTATTATTATTATTGATAATAATGATAATGATGATGATGATGATGATGATGATGATGATGATGATTATGCTGACTACTTCTGATTATTATTATTATTATTATTATTATTATTATCATTATTATTATTATGATAATCCCAATAAATAATTATTTTTGTAACTGTTGCAAATGACAAAATTGAATTATTATTATTAAGATTATGATCATTATTATGTATTATTATTATTAACAATATTAATAATAATAATAATAATAATAATATCATTGTGTATGCGTGCGTGCGCGCGCGAGTGCTTGTGTCATTTTATATTCCTTTATATTTTATTTACATTTATATCTTGTATCTTTATGTTAAATTACCAAGTTAGTAATAATTCCGCAGTTATGACATCGAGCGCTGGTAAAACTACAGCATGACCACGCGTCTACGCAGCGTCTCTCACATTTGTAACGCAGTGCAAAGTTCAATAATGAAAGTCTTGCGAAATTTATTACCGATAATAGCGCCTGTTTATGCGAACAAGAAAACATAATAATTTCCACAATTTTCGTATTTATTGCTGCAGCGTTTAATCGTCGATGTAACTATGACTGGCGTACCTTGTAATTCCCAGGTAAGCTGGACGTCACCTTCAGCGCAGGATCCAATATGGCTGCTGCTCAGATAGGACGGTCCCTGGAGAACTGTTGAGAGGAATAGCACAATCACATCATTAGCACAGCGAAGGCTAGTACTTCCCGGGTGTATTGATATTCATGTCACAGCACAACCGGGATGCAGGGCTAAAGCTAATGCGCAAATGTTGACGATTAAAAATCTACGAGGAAATCGGCTATGAAGAAGGGATTGACCATGAATGAACTACGAATAAGCGCGCGCGCGCGCGTCGCCGTGTGTGTGTGTGTGTGTGTGTGTGTGTGTGTGTGTGTGGTGTGTGTGTGTTGTGTGTTGTGTGTGTTGGTGTTATGTGTGGTATGTTTTGTCAGTGTATCATTTTCTAATCTCAAACATGACGTATACCTCATCTCATTTTTCATATTCTGCCCACTCATTTACCTCATAACTTTTCCTCTAACGAGTTTAACATTTTGCCACACAGACAGCAACCAGACGGGACACTCACGTTGCTGGCTTGACGGAACCGTGGCCCTAGAAGAAACGCGCGACTCTCCAGCGTCGTTTGACAACCCAAATGTCGAGCTGCATTTTGTTCGTCTGCCTCAGTGTCACTTCGAGACTCGTCGTATTCACAATGATGTCGTCGTCGGCGCTGCCAGGCTTTTCGATCACGTGACCACTGATGAGCTTCTTCAGCTTGTAGCCGGTGAATTTGCCGCGAACATCACCTTGCTGAGGCGACTGTGAACGGAGGCGTTATACATTAGGGGCAAATGCTTAAACACCGCTGATCCATTCTGGGAGACGTCCGACACGTACACGTACGCATGCGCTCGCACACACACACACACACACACACACACACACACACACACACACACACACCGCACGCACGCACGCACGCACGCACGCCACGCACGCACGCACGCACGTACGCACGACGCCACCCCACAGACCACGCTAAGACCACACACTATACACACACGCACCACGCACAGCACACACACACACACACACACAAACACACCACACCGACACACACACACACACACACACACCCACACACACACACACGTGACATTTGAGCGATTATAAAAGCAGACATCA